CTCAAGCATCTAAGGCTGCAAATTTGTGGCACTATTTCTAAGTGAACAAGCTATATAATCACATATTTGCGAGGAACACGGAACCATTACAGACAAAGTTTAAAAATCAGCTCATAATTCTTTACTCGATTCTTAGCCATCAGAAAAAATGTATAAATATTTAATGAGGAGAGTAAATGCGTGAGCAAGTGAGAAATCTCTGCAGAGTTGTGTTGAACTGAATTATGATCAGGGTTAAGCGTGGGGTCAGGCGCGCCCGACCTAGGGGGTCGTATGAGGGTAAGACTGAGGGAGGGGGTCGTAATCAAGAATCGAACTTGTTCAGTTCGAGAGACACTACGAAGATGAAGAAGAAATGCGCTAGTCCTGTGGATATCGCAATCACCTAAAGGAATGACGGTTATAAGCAGCATACTGATTGTTTCCACAATCGAAGTAAGCCAAAATCTAATCTGCATATTTTATCTTGACAGATCATGAGATCGACAAGGAAGCCTGCTATGTGAAATGCTGAATCCTTTCGTAATCAGCCTGTCAAATTACCTTTATGCGCTCTACAAACCATTGTCTCTGCATTTTCTAGTATTTCTCAACGTCCAAAAACGTGATTTTCAAACACGATTAATGGTTTCAAAAGTGAAAAATGTAAGCTTTTCTATACTCACAACAAAGTAATGTTTACTACAAGTCTATGTTACAAATCAGGCTTCATATCGCTTTCAAACAGTGAAGTAAGAAGTGCTGCCAAAATTCCAACCGGCGCGTTTTTCACGTTGAGTGCTTCAACTCCCCGGATTAGCACAAGGCCGAAACAAGTCGAATCAAGCTCAAACACTTACTGTGGAGTCTTCGAGGTTTGAGCTAGCAAATCACATAAAACTTGGGTAGAAAAGCTTCTTCGGAAATAAAGTTATTGGGGTCAGGCGCAACCCCTCAAAAGGTCAGGCCGCCTGAGCTTTTGAGGGGTTGCGCCTGACCCCACTAACTTGCCTTCAATATTCAAAAATCGCCACTTTTTTAGTATGATTTTTGAGCGCAAAGCCTCCTCCTGCTATATTGAAAATTTGGAGCCTAACACGCCATCCCTGCGAAATTTATAGCTCTGAAAAGAGAGCTATAGATCCAAAACTTGCCGTCAAGTTGCGTGTAGTTGTGCAATCGCAGAAAGCCGGGCCTGACTTCTAAGAAATAGAAACCTGCATTGAACGCTGGTCTTCGTCAAAAGAAAACACCCTGAGGACGTGAAGGTGAAGCGGAGGGGTCGTTTAGGGACTTTCAGAGGGGGGGGGGTCGTTTTTGAAGGACTTGTGCCTGACCTCTTGCTCAACCCTGATTATGATAGTTCTCGTTTTTTTCGGGAATTTGGAAATTTTTCTGTTTTGGCTTGAAACTTAAGGCTGATCAAGCTTGTTGCAAACTTTCAAACGCCATCTTGTAGAGTTTGCTTCAATCTGTCGATTGGTCTCTCGCATTCTATTAGGAAGTACAAGAGGAACTGACTTATGTTGGTGAAAATTCAAACATGAATAGACTTATGGGACAACCTAATATATGTTCAAGCGCAAACTTTACCGCATTCTATTAGGTTGATGCAAAACTAATGTCCATTCTGAAGTTTCGCTTTGAAAAGCTACAACTTTGTATAATCTTCATATTTTTGGATGTAGTCAAGACCATCAAAAGCAGTTAACCTTTTTGAATGATTACAACTCCCGTAACATAGCGCGCACCTGTTCATACTGATATCACCAACGGGAAGAAAACTATTTGCGTCCTAAAACCAAAGGTTTTTTGGCATCCTCGTTTTTGAATGATTACAACTCCCTTCAAGTTTTGTTCCTATGGCTGGTAATCAATTTATTTTGTAACCGCAAGTTAGTAGATTGTGCGTATGAGAAAGACTTCAACGAAGAAGTTCTGCCAAAAGAAAAGATAAAAACTCAAAGTGTTTACTTCTTTAAGCCTATTTGTGGTAGGCCAAGAAGCCTCCAATAAAAATTCGAAATTCTTTATGCACTTTAGCTAAGTTTTCCTGCAATGTAGGCAAGAAGGCCTAATCTCAAGTTTACAGAAATGAGCGAATCTTTGGCAATTGCCTTAATCATGAGGAATCTTTGAACAATAGAACGCCAGCAGTGAGTGTTTATTTTGGGGCGTCGATTGCTTAGTCCATATATTTCCGGAAAAATTACTTAAGAAATATGTACATAATTTTTGTCCCTTAAGGTAGATATGTTTTCAAAAGAACTCTGCACCTGAATTGTAGCAAAGAAAGTAAAAGCGATAAAGTTTCTATTTTCAGTGTGAGTGTGAGAAAAAGCAGCTGAAATTCTCACAGATGAGGATAGAAGCTTAATCGCACCGCTATTAAAAAAGTACACAAAGAAAGCTTTCCAATGGATGCAAATGCTGTATCGAGAAAGAATGGTCAAAGAAACAAAAGTTGTTTGGAAAATAAGTCTAGAAAAACGGACATTATTTTTGCACCAACCTAATACCTGCAGTGCAAGTATACTATATCCAGCGGAAAATCTACTTAACTGTAGTCTCCTACCGCTCGTCTTGCAAAAACACGCAACATTTTAGCTACTGGACTGCAGCCGGCAGCAACCTGTGCCTACATACCCTTTGATTCAACTGGATTGGCTGCTGTAAGACGAGATTTCGTAACCTAGTGAACGCTAGAGAATGATCAGAGAGCACGAACGCGAGAAAGACGCAGAGTGCGTCGCGGGCGCGAGCGGCCATAATTAGGTCACGAAGCCCCGCCCTCCAGCCGCTAATCCAGTCGAATCAAGGGTTACGTATACACTCTATCCTTTGCTCAAAGTTTATTCTGCAGTACTCGTATACCGCTTGCGTTACATTGATAACTTTGACTCCGAAGAACTTGCAGAGACTGCAACAGGTCTGGGAACAGGTTACGATCAAAGTACCTTCAAACTCCAATGAGTTCATAGCACGTGTCGTTACTACGAGCTCAAAGATTGTATGCTGACAAAAAGTTGATGTGCCATGACCTCTGTACTAGATTATATTTTGTGTAGGATAGCTCACTACACTACAGGTTTATCACAGGACCAGAAGACCAGACAGCTGGTTATGGAGTCAATGCCCTTCGGTGACAAGTCCACGAGTTCTTAGCATACTCAGATAAACTTTCCTTTCTATTTCATCCCCCCCCCCACCTTTGAATCACAGACCGATCACATCAAAAGTTTACGAGCAGCTGCTGCTCACACATTTTTTGCACCTTTGTAATCTGTCAGATGACAATTCATCTTACTCGTGATTTGTGTTATAAATAATACTGGCAGCTAACAAATAAATATGAAGGATTTCTGGCCATTGTCATTGGCATAGTGCTTGGCGCCAGAGTGACTTGGCACTGATCTTAAATCTTATGATTCTGTCTTGCACTCACACTAGATTATTTTGATGTTATTGTCCATCCCCTTGTCATACAAGAAAATTTGTACTTGTTATGGTCATCGCTCCTTACTCTGATCTGCTATTAATAGTCATAATTTGAACTCTTTGTTATTACGAACTCTCAATCACATGAGGTTATCAGTATTTTTTGACCTTTTTAACTGATATTAAACCTTGATATAGGTTGCTATCAGTGGCGTACCCAGGATTTCCACTCGGGGGGGGGGGGGGGGGGAGGGGTGCCACGCACTCCGAAAAAATTTTAGGAGTGCTTCTCAAAATTTTTGCGGGTCTCTAACCCCTAAAATCTTGAAAAAGGGGACGTGGCGTCCCCCCTCCCCACCCCCCTCTCGGTACGCCACTTGTTGCTATCTATTGCTGATCATATTTCTTCATAACAATTCCTCGCGGTCCATTCCATACAAAAAATTCTACTTTCGCTTGTTTTCGAAGCTGGTTTCTGTTGGCTAGAAGGCACCGTCCTGCTAAATTGAGAATCCTGAGATTCTGATGCTGTTCAATAGCAGGGCTCCACAAGGCTACCACTCAACTGCAAATAAATTCTGAAGTTAAAAAGTTGCTACAGAACAAACTACAGGCTCAATCATGCTTTGATCTGCTCTCTGCGTTCAACTTTTATGCTTGATTTCTCCGACGTCATTCAAACTTTATTATTTCAGAAGCCATGTATCTTGACTATCACTTCGATTTTTATGGTGGAAGTCTTAACAAGCTCATCAACAAGTTGAAAAGGTAAGTAAAAAATCTCATCCCAGAGATTATGGGGTAAGCTTCATAAAATCACAAAAATTTCCCATGAAAATTTGAGTTCCAAGAAAGTGGCAGCCCGGACGTACAAGTTTTCTCCAAACCATATGCATAAAACTAAAGTTGCATTTTTGCAAGCCCTTTTGCACTACAGTCTTTAGATTTACAGCAAAAAATTTATATGAAACAGTTTTGCAATATTGCACTATTTTGCAATATTGCAAAACTGTTTCATATAAATTTTTTGCTGTAATAATCTAAAGACTGTAGTGCATATTTCCAAGTCCCGCCCTCGGCCACGCCCAAAGTTGCTACCTTACCCTTTCCTCCCCGAAAATCAATAAAACGTTTGATTATGTCCCTAAGTTTCATATTATTTCAGTCCCTTTACCCATCCAGTCCATTTTCTTGGGATTGACTGGGCGCCAATGCTAGTACCGTTCAAAAGGCGTTTAGAGACACTAGCTGTTGCCCATTTCATCTTTTTATGGCTTATTGCACCTTTCATCTCAGTATGGGTGAGTGTCAAAGTATCTAGAGTCTATCTCAGTCGTGGTGTCTCCCTTCAAAGCCGCGCGAAAGCTCGCACTGCGTTCACGGTTTCGAGAGGCATCTGACTCGAACTGTCAGATAGGTCTCATCTTGAGGGCAGCACGTCAATCTATCGTGCTACGAATGCTTAGCCGCGCGCGAAAATGACATTGCAATTGGGACAAACTGTATAAGAAAGTGCTATCAAATTAATTCTTTAATTTTAGTTAGCGTTCTATATTTTCTTCCGCACATCCTATTGGTGGGCCATGATGTTATATGCAATATGGGCCGTTTACGATTTTCGTACACCTCGTCGAGGCTCACGTAACTGGGTAAGCTGACCAATTACCGAACTTTACCGCTAAATAATAAAGATTTATTATAGACTTGGTATAAGTACCACCCATTATGGAAACATTTTGCTGACTACTTTCCTTTACGATTAGTCAAAACTGCCGAACTGCCTCCAGATAGGAATTACATCATTGGGTAAGGTTACCCATAAAATCAGTGTTTGAACATAAAGTAAGCTAAATCTAGGTCTCATCCGCACGGTATCCTTTCCATAGGTGCATTCACGACAATGATCACAAACGCAACAGGATTCCTAGAAAAGTTTCCTGGTCTCAAACCAACAATTTTGGCCTTGAATAGCCATTTTTATTTTCCGTTCAGGAGGGAGATTGGTATTGGTTTGGGTAAGCTTGAAGTGTTTATGTTTTGTAGGAATTTGAAAATCGAATTTGTTCATTTTTTAGGTGGCGTTGAAGCATCTAGAGAATCCTTGCAGTATCTCTTGGAGAATCCAGGAAAAGGTGAGCTTTTTTGGTAGTAATTGGTTTCTGTTTAAATGCTTGTTACATCAGTTTACATAAAGGTATGATAACCAATAATCCAGCTAGAAATATAATTTCTCAGGATAAACCCGGTCAACCAGTTATGTAAAGGCTACTGCATGACGAAGGCGCAGAAGCAGTATTAGTTGAGCGGGCGCGAACGCGACCTATCCTCACCATCGTAAATCCTGCGCCTTATGCGCTCTGCGGCTAATAAAGCCGCATTCGCGGACGAATTCGAAACGCACAAGCGTACCCTGATCGACAACGCGGCAACAACGCGCAGTCTTCTCCGCCGCGCACGAATTTGGTTTTTTTTTCGCGTTTTTTGAAGTTGCAAACGCCGATCTTTGTACGCTTGTCTGTTTCGAATTCGTCCCGACTTTCAAGCGCACGATTACTGGAGCATGTATGAAAGGCAGAGCTGGAACACTTGGTTTTTTTGTGACTTCTTTGCATGCAATATTTGCGTTTAGTGTACCGGTGATGTCCCACAATAAAGTAGAATATCAGTAAAGTCAAGTAGATGACCTCCTAGAGGAGTTATACAGGGTGTCCCAAAAAAATGTGAACACTGTTTGATTGTTAATAACTCCCTTGCTTTCATGTGTTTCGCCGAACTTGAGGCACCATTCTATAGAGCGAGGTTTAGCTCAGAATTACAATATAGAGCGAATCGTCGATTGCTCTTCATTACTGTAGATTACGGTAGGAACTTCAACAAGGATTTTAGGCCATTGGAGGCCATATTCTGCCTCGGAACAAAATCAAACAAGCCCAGAAACTCCTACACTATGGTAATGGAAGCCGCTGATTTCGAATATGAAATTTTCACTATGCTGCGATGCTTCTTTCCAAGGTTATCCCAGGTAAACAGTAATAACTGAATTTCCAGCATTTGTCAGGAATGTAACTACACCGTCAAAAAAGCCAAAAACACTCGTAAAAGGTTGTCCAATAGAATCAGCATGCAAGAAAACCCTAATACACGATTTTTCAGATTATTTGAAAAAACTTTTGTTAAATGACATATTTCACAATAACTCCACATGCTAGAAATTCATACCGTAATCCTACACTAGCGAACAGCGATCAGTGATCCGCTCCATGCTACAAATCTAAGTTCAACCTCGCTCTGCAGAATGTTGCCTCAAGCTCGGCGAAGGACTTGAAAGCAACGGAGCTATTAACAATCAAACAGTGTTCACATTTTTTGGGACACTCTGTGATTGTTGATGCTGATTGTTCATCGATATATCCTTTTAAGCCTTCATGTATAGACTCGTTGTTAACATTACCAAGAAGCGAAAAGGAAATCTATCGATGGCGTTATTGATGAAGGTACGGCTTCTTTGCAAACTTATTGCCAATTCTGGTCTCATCTGTTTGTAAATGCAAAAAGCGGAAAAGTTCGAATTGGTCTTTGGTTGTGGTTTTCACCAAAAGCTGGAAATCGCTAGAAACCAGTTGTGGTCCTACGCTACTACAAATATAATTTGTGCAAAATATATACTTTGAGGCTTGAAACTACAGTAAGGATATTTGTGACGACGTCAGATCAGCTACTGGGGTTTGAAGTTCCTGAATTGCCGCTCATTACTCATAAAAAAAGAATCGCTGCGGCTGTGCTTGGACAGCCTCCGCCGAAGTTCACCGAATTTTTCGCATCAGGTCTATGTTCAGAGTGGACTAGTTTTGAAGGTTACCATTCAGCTATTTCAACATGGCACGCCTTTGTATATACATAACTGCTTTAGCTTGGGGTGCATTAGGTAACGTGGGAGATAGTTTTCAAATTTCTTTTCCAGTTTCTGCTTACATAGGCTGCTCACTGTGACAATTACAAATTCTTTGATGCTAGAGGCCATTGCGAGACGCGGTGGGGGTAGATCTGCAAAGAAGCAAACCACCATAAATATTTTGCCTTTCTCTTTTCAGCAGTTATGTTCTCGATCTGGTTGCTCCTCGAAGTCACTCACCGAGGCTCAACCCGACGTTTTCATCAGGTACAACTTTGATCAATTCTCATTCTTATTAGGACCCCAAACATAATTTGCTGACCGGCGGGGGCAAGCATTTCGCAATTCAGCGTCTTTTTTCAGTCTGCGCGGCCTTTTGAAATAAATAAAGGTAACATTTTGACGTGACCAAATCCGTTAGTGGGGGATTGAGCCTCAGATGTAACGATGCTTCTCCACTGCGTGATATTTCGGAGAAATTTCAGACTGTGGAGAAAGCTTCTTGGAGGTTCGCGGACGAAATCACAAAACCATCTATGTGCGCATGGCTGTACCCGAAAATTTTAGACACCAACATTACAAAGCTGTGATTCTCCACTTTGTGGCAATAGTGCTTGTTGCTGATCGTGTTCGGAAAATCTTGTCGAAAGCGAATTCGAAACACACAAGTGTACAAAGATCGACGTCTGAAACTTCAAAAAACGTAAGAAAAACCAAGTTCGTGCTTGCCGTCGCGCTTGGCGGAGAAAACTGCGCGTTGCTGCCGCGTTGCCGATCGCGGTATGCTGGTCCGTTTCGAATTCGTCGCATTCGCGCCAGACGATATTGTGCCTTCGCCATGCAGCAGACTATAAACATTAGCAATGTTTTTCCACATCAAAATGTCTCTCTGCGATGAAAAGTGCGTGCTCATTGCTTCATTCAGTTCAAAAGAATACTTTGATCCCACCCCTCCTCCCCTCCCCCCCCCCCCACTGCCTTCGCCCCTCCCTTCTGCTTTGAGCTATATCTTTTTCTGCTATATTCCACAGACCAGCCGAATTACGATTTCTTTTTTTTTTGGTAATGATTTAAATTTGGCCCTGACAATTTTTCTCCTCTTCCCCATTTTCGTCCGACCTTTTCTTGACCCCTTTTCCTTCCTCCATGTTTTTTCTTTATAAAATTTAGAGATTAACCATAAGTTTTTCAGGTCGTGCTATCGCAATAGCGCTCGGCGGAGCACAGGGGCTACTTGATGCTTGTCCTGGCACGCATATTCTCCATCTTTCGTCACGGCGAGGATTCTGCCGATTTGCTTTGAAATACGGGTAAGTGGCCCTCTTGCTCTTACTTGTTGTTACTGCACAACGCACATAAAATTGACGAAAAAATGTACATACTTCCTCCTTTTCCTGGTATACGCAAAGTACCCAAATGTTGACCCTTCGATCCGCCTCTAGCTCTTTTTTGCGATTTTTCAAAAAGTCAAGCGTTTCAGTTATCCATTCCGCCCATGTAATCATTTACTCATTCATTTTATTTATCATTGTATTTGTGCGGCGGCGCATCGTTCATGAAATGCATGAAATAGAATAAATAAATCAAAATAATTTTTTGAGCTCCAATGAATGTTTCATTTAGTGCGGATTTGGTCCCTATGTACAATTTTGGAGAAAACGATGTCTTTGACACTATCTCGAGTCCTAGAGGGACCGCTCTGAGAAATTTTCAGGTAGGTAGATATCAACGAAAGAAGCCTCCCGCAAAATAACATTATGCATTCAGGATTTTATCAAAAGGTGGTGGGGCTTTTGTCCTCCGCTAGCTAAGGGTCGCGGAATCTTCAACTATACATTTGGCTTGCTGCCACACCGAAGACCAATCACGACAGTCATGGGTGCACCTATAAGGTATGCGATTTGCAAAAAAAAGTTGGAAAACAACCATATTTTTTGTTTTTAGGGTTGATCGACTTGAGAATCCATCAGAAGAAGACATAGACAAACTGCATGCAAAATATTGCAAAGCGTTGACGGAGCTTTTCGAAGCTCATAAGAGCTTACATAACATACCAAAAGATGTACATCTGACTATTTATTGATTGTTGTATTGTATATTAGGTAATAATTGATGATATATCTGTACAATGAGGTGACAATATGGGTGTGTTTCTGCCTCAAATAAAATAAAAAATTGGTCCTGTTTTATTGAAACGCTCCTAGGTGTATTATAATTTAGCAGTTCTAAGAAAGCAATCTAGAGCGAGTCAATACGCTAAAATGAACAACGAAGAGAAAAGGAAACAGCTGTAGAAGGGCAAACTTAGCCAGCAGAACAATGACGACCTGGTTGCCTTGGTCCACTTATTCATTCTTTGGAGAGCGATTTCGCATTGCTGAGCCAAAAGAAACTTTCGATTTGTACAATTTCTTGGTAAAAAAGACGGCGAATGTAACGAATTTACACTATTAGTACTTCTGACTTCTATGATTCTCATAACCGTTTGTTAAACTAAAACTTCTTTATTAAGCATATCAAGCACTTAGACCAATAATGCACAAAATGATTGCAAATGGTAGTGTAAAGCTCGCGTGGTTCCTAAATGCAAGAATCACTCTAGACCCTCTCATACCATGTAAATCTCTCATTACCTCGTGATCCTAATGACTTCCAGCAGTTCAAGAAACTCGTCTTACTGTTAGAACATAATTTGCGCCTGTCACTCAGAAGGTTGCACTAGTTTTCAAAAATTGTCCAAGTTCGACTCTCGATTAATCTCGGCATGTTGCAAATGCTTGTTGTGGCTTGTTTAGCTGGACACCGGGATTGGTATATCCTTTATTCGACTAACGTTTTGGCGGTATCGCCTTCTTCAGAGTCTGAAATCATCGAATGCATAAGTGAACTATCCTATCAAAAACCGCCTCAAGACCTAGGAAAACGCCCAATGCGTCAGTGAATCAAGAACTCGAAAGTGAATGCAGGATTAGACTAATGCTCACCTAAACAGATGCCGACAAAGTGGTATTGCAGACCACTATACCAGTAACTGAGCTCTTGCTTTCTTATATACCTATTCGCCTGGCCTCAAATTGACCTCAGAAGCCGCAAAGGCTCTGATAAGGCGCCAACTCATTAGTGATGTCTATGCACTCATCTCTTCTATTCAAATTTGGATTTTTGGCGGCAATCCAAAACGCTTCTAAAGTCTTGCGCGCTAGGATTTCGGATTCGTACGCCAAGATCGTGACCTCCACGCGTATGTCTGCGTCATTATGGAACTGTCTGCGATGCTTGCCCAGTGGAGTTGCCATGTTCGATTTTTTGAGCCCGTCTAGGTGTTCTTTTACGCGTATACATAGGGGCCCCCGTCTCGCCGATGTACGTGCCTCCACATGCCTGACAGGTGATAAGGTACACCACCCCCGCAACCATGCACTCGCCTTCCCTGCTCTGCGGGCATATGATGCATCCTGGAGTCATGCAAAGCCTATCATATGCCCTATTCGTACTAGCTGATGTTTGAGGTTTGTAGGGGGTATGTCAACTACCCTTATCCAATCCTGGAGGTCCTCTTGTAGTACCAATCTTCTGACCGTTTGCTCAACTCCTCTGAGATATACGGCAGGCAGAAAGGGATCTTTCCATCGGTTTCTGTAACCACATTCTCCTGAGCTCGGTGATGTTTTGCGTGAGTGTGCCCAAAGATCTTGTAACCATTAGATCGAGCTACTCTGTCAGCTATCGCCATGGAATAAGCCTTTTGTTGCCCGTCAGAGGAGACCTTCAGAGCAGTTCTGAACACATTTCCTGCAACTGATTTTTTGACTTGCCGGGGGTGCGCTGAAAAACAGTGTATAAGAATGTTCTTGCTGCTGGGCTTTCGATACCATCGAGTTCTCCAACCATTCTCTGCCAACTGCAACTCGACATTCAAAAACGGCAGCCAATTGTCACTAGGCTTCTCCCGCGTCAGTCTAATGTGACGAGACTGCTTGTTGAGGATGTCAAAACAGAGATCCAGCTCTCCCTGGGTGGAGCATACTATGCAGCAGTCATCGACGTAACGGCAGAAGAGAAGTGGATTTCGTGCGAGTACAGGGGATTCTATCTTAGACATGAAGACGATGGCCAATGTCGGTGCTAAACGCTGTCCCATAGCGAATCCCCTAATCTGTTTGTAATAGCGACCATACCAGCGGAAGACTGTACATTGAAGACACTCCTTTAGAAGTACCATGATCCCCCTTATGCTGAAACCATGAAGATTCAACGAGGATTGATGCTCCAAAAGTAGCGCGAATGTAGCTTGCATGGCGTCGCTGTTAGAAACATTGGTGTAGAGCGAAGTTACGTCGAAAGACTCTACCACACATCCCTGGTTAACACGCGTCTCGCGCAGACGATCTAAAACATATTTGTGTTGGAAAGATGCGAGGGCACGAATTTTAGCAGCTGCGATAACACCAAATTCAAAAACCAGGAGATCCTGTCCATTGGCCCACCAACATTGCTGATAATTGGTCTGACCTTGAAGTCCTTAGAATTGGTTGATGCGAAACCGGCAGAAGCTAGCTTGTGGGTCTTTATCAGAGTGTAAAGTACCGGACATACAGGCAAATCACTCTTGAGACGCGTTACAATGCTCTTATGTAGTCCCTCAGGTAGTAGATACTAAATTCCGGGTTTTCGCCACATCGCTTTTCTCAACACTCAGCCGATTCAGCAAAATGCACCAAAATAGTAATTTAACGACTGCCCAACGCCGCGGCCTCCGTGAACTCCGTGATCTTTGTGCTGCTGGTGAGATCAAACTATCCGTCAGCGACAAAGGAGAGTACTCTGCGTTGATACCACTGCTT